CCACAAGCTACCTCAGGAGCACCAGTCAAGTGCAAGACAAGCCCCAAACTGTATGAGGCATGATAAATTCCCCCAGACTGGTCACGTACATTAGCCACAATTTTGAGTTGCATTTCCAGATGGCCTTGCTGTGAATTAACCCGTCATAAACACCTGAGTGTTCCCACTGTCAGCCCTCCCGTGGCTGCCCCTACCTGAGGCTGTTCCCCCAGGAGCCTGGCACCGTACCTAAATGCAATCAGATCCATCAGGTGCTCTGCAGATACACGCACGGCCACAGCGACAGGACAAGCTGCATTTTAATCACGCTACTAATTAAGCAGTGACCTAAAAATGCCACGCGGAGTGGCATTTCAAACATCTGAAGGGTTTCCCTTTCACACTCACTGAGTTATTACGACATGGCAAAGAAATAATTGTTATCCTGACAATATGCCAGGAAGTTCCTCTCCAGTTCACCAAGTGCTCCCTGCTTCTTCCAGCACACAAAGGCCCTTGGGGATGTGAGTGGCCATAGGCACAGCCATGACTATTTTGTGTTACTGCTGGGACTTGGTGATAAATGTTTTTTAATTTAAGGAGCTGCAGTTGTTTCCTCATTCAGATCCAGGTCTAGAAAACACCACTAAAAAAGTACTTTTTAACATTTGAGGTTTCACCTTTTCTCTTTGCTACTAGATATTTGAAGTACATGGCAATGTATGATGCGTAATTTTTATAAATATCTCAAATGTAAACAAAATTGCTTGGCTTAAACCATACAAAGGAAGGTTAGAAAAGCATGTGTTCAGGAAATGGAAAGGAACCTGGAAAATTTAGTTAAGATTCCAAAAAAAGACCGTGACCCTGGCTTCCACCCCACTCCAAGAAAAAAGACTGGTAGTTACTTGCTTAGCCCTATCAACTTCAGGGTACTTTTTGGGTACTGCTCTGTCCTGTACCTGACAGCTGAAATACTATTTCACAGAACTTAGTTGCCCCATAAGATCAGGTGTGTGTCTGCACAGCACTTTCAGAAACATGAACTGATTTTGGGGCAGTCATGTTTGGGGCCAGGAGGTGATGATCCTTGTGGGTCCCCTGGATATATCCTGTGATTCTCAGAATATTCTATGATTCTGTGGCAGATTATTTCTTTGGCCTCGTAACTGGCTTGCTGGGAAACTAGAACAAGTTGGTGGCTCAGTCATTTCACTGACACCTTTGTAATCAACCTAGTCACAAAGGTGAAAAACACATTGAGGCCATTCCTTGTGCCTGAGGCTGGCTTTGAAAATGAACAATAATCAAAACTCATCTTTGTTTTCCAACTATTATTATTCCTCTGGGATGCAAGCCTTTGCTACAGTGTCCCCTGCCCTTGTCAGATCCCCACTATGCCACTCAAAGCCCAGCCAGACCAGTGAGGAAGTTCACAGCAAAGAACTGAGCAGCACCTGAGGATGTCAAAATCCACTGATGACTCTTGGCGCCTTGGCTAAAATAAGGAGACCAATTTGCAGAGAATGCTGGGCATCTGCATGGCAAAAAATCAAGTCTCAAAAGGTTTCAGAGATGCTTAACAATGGACTGCAACTTTTCCACATTAGTCACTATGAAAAAATCTTGGCCAGAGATGACAGTGAGGTCTTTCACTCCCACAGCGGACATTGTGGGAAGTGTGACAAGGAGCAGGCCTTTTCTTTACTCCTGTCGGGTCTCCTGAAGACAGTCATTAATTGTCGCTTGTGATAGGAGTGAGAGGATGGTTGTGCATTTAAACTTGCTGCAGAGCAACAAGCCTTCCCTGGGAGCTGCTCACAGGGAAGCTCTTTCCACCCTCTTTGGCCAACAAGCAAGAGGGATTAGCACTATGCACGTGAAACAACCCAGTGAATAAAAATTACATGCAAGGAATTGATAAAGCAATTTTTACAGCAACTTCCTCATTACGTAAGGAGATCAACAGTGAAAACACAGAAGGAGGAGGAGCGAGGTTTCTCACTCCAAACAACAACGAACTGGATAGCTCCCTTCCGTTTCTGCATATTTTTCAACACAAAAACTCTGTCCAATCTAGTCACAGACAAGAGGTCTCTTCCAACCTAGAGATTCTGTGATTCTGTGAAAGCACTTATGGGTAGAAATCTTGCGCTATTTCTTCCCCTTCTGAGGTAGAACAACATTGACAAAATGAAACGGAACAAGAAAGCTTCATGCCTTAGATGTCCTTTATCAGCATCACACATACATGCCAAAAGGGTTATTACCCTAATCACGAAAGTCGACAACAAATTAGCCCTGTTTAAAATTCAATGGCAATGCAGGCAGAAATCCAATACATGCATTCTCTAATTACATTCCATGTAATATATTCTGCGAGTCTCCTGTGAGCTTGTTTTGTGCATACACGCACCACCTCTTGCCACTGGAAATCAATTCAGTGTTCGTAGCACAAGTGTCTTCAGTTCTGCCAAAACAACTTCTAGCGTTTCCATCCTCCATGCCACAAAAAGAAAGTATTAGTGCCAATGAGAAAGAATGAGGTTTTGTCCTTTCTTACCCATGCACACCTACACACTCACAGAAAAGGCACACAAACTATTTGCCTGTTCAGTGTAAAGCCATTCCTTAGAGAATTGCAAGCTATTACTTCCAGGTTAGGCTTTTCAATGAAAAAGGAGAGAAAATGGCTGCTAAGACAGCTCAATGTGTTTGCTTCAAACAGAAACCAGAACTTCTTACAGTTTATGAAATGTGAAAAATCAGTGATGCTACATACCGACTACAGCACAGTGAGAAGTAGCATCAGAGGCTTGACAGAATTCTTTCTTGGGGGTATCAATGTCGTATTAAAAGCCACTGCTGTTGCATTTTGAAAGCAGCTTTCTTAAGAGCCTAATATAATGAACTGTGCCTGCAGTTCAAGTGTCCTGAACTTCCCTCTTGTCTCTGTGGAAGACATCCCTGCGAGTATCCAAAGCCAACAGTTGTTTTTTTTTTTTTCCAGGAGAAGTGTCTCTTCCTGCTCAGTACATCATAATCAACTTCATACCACCTAATGGCAATATCCTAATTGGATTGTTTTGCATGTTGCTAAAAATAAAATAGCTTCAGAGAATTAGATTTTCTGAAAATCTGAATATTTCAGCTACTTCTAATTACACCTAAGGCTGGGAGAAGCATGTCCAAATTGACCTTCAAGATCCATTCCCAGGGTCCATGTTCAGTGGGTTTGCTGGGGAGCTGAGACTGATTAGAGCATTTTTTGAGAATATGTGATTGTTCTGGTTTTACTTGTGTTAGACATGAAAGAGGATCACTTTGGATTTAATTCATTCGGTGTTTGGGGTTTTCAGAAGAAAACATAAGGGATTCTACACAATGAATTTCAAGGCATTCAACAAGCAAATGTCTGGAAAGCAAAATTCACTTTGCTTGAAGCAACATTAGTGGTGGTTAAGAGTAAAACAGTAAACTTATCTTCACAAAAAAAAAAATAAATAGAAGCTTCAAATCAAACAGTGGCATTCTTAAATCCAGACTGAATTGTTTTGCCTTAAAAAAAAAAAAAAAGGCACAGGAGTAAAAAAAAAAAAAAAAAAAAAAAAAAAAGGCACAGGAGTAAAAAAAAAAAAAAAAGTGATGAAATCTAGATACTTAATGCACAAAGTGTTTTTGAAATACTTTGTTTTCCATTTTCACAGAAGACACACAATTTAGTTAGCCAAAGGAATTCTTCTGGATTACCATTTTACCCACATTAATGTAACACAAAATCTCTAAGGATAATCCTGAAAGATTTTTTCTCAGCAAACCAATGACACTAATTTTGTACACAGTACCAATTCTGACAACAGGAGATGAAATAAAAAGCAACTGAAACTTCAAAGAATGTGGAATAAGGTTTTTCAGAAGTGTTCAGTACTGGTAATGAGAATTTTATCATTAACTTCCCTGGGAACAGGATTAGGTCTAATACAAACATTTCTGGGTATCTCTAACAGTGAGTAATGAAAGCAGGAGGAATATAAGGTGATATAAAACCTGCAGGTAGAACTAGTGAATACCTAACGTGGTATTTTCCCATATTTCCCATACAGCACCTGTCAATGTATAATCTAAATTAATGACGCTGCAGTCTCAAACTGTTTGGTTCATTTTCTTTTGGGAGCACAGAGACGACTAGCAGGGTAGACCGAAACATATATATGACCTGCATGGCTTAGCGTAACATAGGTATTAAAAACCTGTCACTCCTCTACTACATCTTTGAGTGAGTTGTACATTTACATTTAAGGAGGAGAAATTTTGTACTATTCCAAAAATTATGACATACACCCTTCCTAAATAAACTTCCACAACACTACTGCACAAGGAATAGTTTGTTACCCACTGTAACCTACAAAGACACCCTTCCATGTCAGTCCACATCTGTTCTCTTGCCCCTCACAAGCCTGGTATACCCTCACGTTCATTTCTGCAGTAACAGTGGATCTGAAATGCTGAAATGTGAAGCTTGGATTACCATCAACTAGATCATTTAACCTAAATAACATTTTCCAGATCATTTCAAACTTCCTGCATCCCCTTACTTCTCATCATGATGTATCCAACATTTCGGTTTTAAAAGCGTAGTAAAGGTACAGCAACAATAATTGATTTCATTTTCAAAGGGCTCTGCAGATGACAGTCCCCAGTCCTGTTTGAGTCAAGTGTCTATGGGGAAGGCTGAGACTACTCTCACCCACTTCAGCAGGTTTGGATCATTAACACTAATCAAAGGCAGGGCTCTGGGCCAACTTTTGCCCTCAAATCAAAACAATTAGAGACTGAGATATTCAGCTAAAGGGGCGTTTTCATCTGTTAAACTTGCCTGCCTTAGTTATGTAGTGGTGTGTTTTTTCATCTCAGTCCAATTTATTTGGGAGGAAAATTTGTGCTTAGTGACCACCTCATCTAAAGATTAGGAAACGACAGATTTTAAACAAAATGCTGTACTGCATCTTTTTCCGTCTTACCTTGAATGCAGCTATGCAGTGTAGGCTGAGTAACACCAGCACCACGACCAGCAAGACTGTGGCCAAGTTCCTCACGTCCCAGACAGACTCGACCAGAGGGATACTGCCGACCTGCCAGTCATAGCACAGGGTAATCGGTGCCAGCAGAAGCCACGCATTGAAGGCCAGAAGGTAGGAGTAAGTTAGAAACCTGCAAAAGAAAACAGGTAATGTAATACAGGGCACGGCTGCCAACACCACGAAACATTTTCCTTATACCAAAACAGAGCTGGGTTCACACAGATTGAGATTTTGGCATTTACCACTTACTAGAGAGAAGGAGGCACAAAACAGCCATGCATTCACAGGTAACCCTATCCCTCTCTGTCAATAAAGACATGATAATGTGGAGAGGGGCTGGGGGGGTTGGAGGGTAGGCACAACTTCACCAGGCCATTTAAAGAGATAGCATAAAATCAGTAATATTTGTGTGTTTTCCATGCACCAGCCTTCAGAAAACTTTACATATCTTAATGTTGCACTCAGATGTTTTACTTTGAATTGACTTGCTATCAGCTTCAACTACAAAATGTTACTTAATAACTAAGCAGGTACAGAAGCGTATCCACCTGTTGCACAGCATATTGCATCAGTCCTGCAATTCCAAATATCCTTTTACCTGAGTTTAACTTTCAGTTTAGGATTCTACCTATGTGCACAATATTGAGCATTTAAAGTCAGACCTCTCCTTCTCTCTTTGCATCCTAGCACAGAGTGAAAAGAGAGAGCAAAGGAAGAAGAGGGTGATTCTCCGCCGATCCCATTAGAGCTTATTAGGATTGGGGACAGCCATAAAAGTGAGGGGGAAGTAGGGAGCCTTTTAAATTGTTGTAATCTTCATTAATTGGCATTCTCTGTAGGGAGGAAAATAACAGAGAATGGAAATGGGAAACCACACTGCCCTATGGGAAGTATGCAGGGATTGCAGAGGTCTGAACAAGAACAGCATGGGTGCGACCTGGTTAAAGAGAAATAGAAAACAACAAGAAATAAAACATCCCCTCTCCCCCCAGCCTTTTTCTGCTTGGCACCTACTTGCCAAAAAAAAGCTTCTCCTTGAAACCACATTTACAGAAGTTCAAATACATTTGAGGCTGGAGATTATTCCAGCAATCATGAAGTCTACCAAGCAGAACTGCAAGAGCCTTTGAATAGACAAACCCTTCCTTCGTTTGAAAAGGGAAAAGTCCACATTGTACGCAGCACAAAAAAAGGGCACATACGAAATAAAAGAAAAAACAAAAGGAAGATAGAATATTTTATCCTGCATAGGATTTCTTCCATCGGAGCCGCCTGCTTAGCTGTTGTTATCACACCCAGTTGCCATGGTACCTTAGCAAGTTTATTAAAATGATAACAAAGGATCCCCAAGAGATGTAGAGCCAGAGAACTGCTTCACTTGCCACTTCGAAACCTGCCCCTTTGGGGTCAAAACGCAGCCTTTACAACAACAGTTACAGCATTATAATATATTTGTGGCAGAAGAGGGAAGATATTGAGGCTAAATGTGACTCCAGGCTGGCAGGATGGAATTTCCCAGCTGGGTGCTGGGCCAAGACCTGGGGATGAACCAGGCCTACATTTTTGTGAAAACATTTTGAAATAACCACAAACAGTTAGGATATCAGTTTTCTTCTCATCCAAAAACCCAAACATCTCCAGCGGCACAGCAACTCAAAAGCTGGGAAGGTTAAATAGCTGGAATAATGTTTCATTGTAAACAGTGGAAAAGGCACATTCCCATTTCCCCCCAAATCAATCTTATTTCACAATTCTGATGGAAAATGATGTATTCTCATATCTTGAAGGGTTTAAAACCATTTGGCATGTTTCTCTTCCATTCTGCCATTTTTCTCCCTGAGGTAGTAAACAGGGAAAAATGTGAGAGAAAATGCATTTTCTCACTTAACAGCAACAGTGATTAAAAGGACAGTTTCTATTTAAGAAAGCATCCCTCAAAAAAAAGCAATGTAATTCTCCCCAAAATCTTCGAATTTTGATTGTTCATGATAATTGAAGAAACAACTATGTCTTTTTTTAATTAATAAGCCAATCTCTTCTGGCCAGCATTACCGAGAAACCCAGCAACACAAGACCTGGTGCAGCTTGCTCACGCCGGGGTGCTCGCAGCGAAGTTACACGCGGCGCTCCCACACCTCTGCTCAGCTGGAGAACAGCAGAGCTATGCATCGCTCTTAATACAGCCACAGCTCGGAAAAGGTTGCCAGGATCTATTTACAGCTACTTAAAAGCCAAAGCGAGATCCATTCCTAGCTTTACACTAAAATGCGTATCCATTTATACCAATCTGAATAATGTCAAGGCATATAACATTGTTACCAGTGTGTATTTTAGCATTTTCAGAAGCCTTGAGTTAGGTTTGTACTCGAACCAAGTTTTCAGAATAATTGTCCTTCTAAGCCCTGCATGTTACCATTCTCAATAAGCACCAAAACATCCATGGAAGTTGTTTAATGAACCACGACACACTGCAAACCTTCTCCTGCTTACTCAGAGCAGGCTTTCAGACAGTGAGATGGATTGACAACTGGCTGAACAGCCAGGCCCGCAGGGTAGTGGGCAGCGGTGGGAAGTCTCCTTGGAGGCCAGTAATGAGCCAAGTACCCCAGGGGTCGGTACTGGCTCCGGTCTTCACATCTTCATTAACGATCTGGACAATGCAGTAGAGTATGCCCTCATTAAATTTGCTGCTGATACAAAACTGAGGGGAGCAGCTGACTCACCAGAGAGCCGTGCAGACATCCAGAGGGACCCTGACAGGCTGGAGAGGTGGGCGGGCCAGAACCTCCTGAGGACGAACAGCCCCAGGCACTGGGACGTGCTGGAGAGCAGCTTGGCAGAAAAGGGCCCGGGGGTCCTGGTGGACACCAGCTGAACATGGGCTGGCAGCGTGCTGTTGCTGCTAAGAAAGCTAATGGCATTCTTGGCTGCACTAGGTGAAGTACTGGCAGTAGGTGAAGAGGCAACCCTTCCTCTCTGCTCAACACTGGCGAAGCTGCACCTGGAGTGCCATGTCCAGTTCTGGGCCCCCCAGTACAAGAGAGACATGGACATACTGCGAAGAGTACAGTGAACGGCCACCAAGATGATTAAGGGACAGGAGCACCCCTCCTGTGAGATGCTCTGCTTGTTTGGCATGGAGAAGAGCAGGCTTGGGGTAATCTCACCGATGTCTACAAATACCTGAACAGAAAGCGTACAGAAGATGGAGCCAGGCTCTTTTCAGTGGTCCCCAGTGCCAGGACAAGAGGCAATGGGCACAAACTGGAACACAGGAGGCTCACTCTGAACACCAGGCAGCCCTTCTGTGCTGTGTGGGTTGCCCTGAGAGGCTGTAGAGTCTCTCTCGGTGGAGACCTTCATAAGCCACCTGGACCTGCTCTGGGTTGAGCAGGGGCTTGGACCAGATGGACCCTGAGGTCCCTTCCAACTTCAACCATTCTGTGATTCTAGGCAGGAAGAAAGCAGAAGATATTTTGGATCTGTGCAAGCTGCAGCATTTCAGCTAAAGACAGACTAGACACTTTGCTGCATCTTCCCCGATAAGACAGGAGCTGATAAATCATTGTGCAGCACAGAAGAAATAAGCAGTTTTCTGCCATAACAAATTGAGTCAGTTTAACAAATTTTAAAAGGAATTCAGGGTAGCCAGATTAGAGCATGTTAAAGCATTTCTGATGGAAGGTTAGGTCACACTGCTGTGGGAGATGAGAAGACAGACTCTGGGACATGCGCTGCCCAGGAGAGGTTTATAAACAAGTCTCCTTTTCTCTGTGCTTACAGGGTTTTCATCTTCTTCAAAAGCCATGTGCACAGCTCACTGCCAGAGGCAGCTCCCAAAGGAGATGGACAACTGCTCTGTTCCATTACGGCAATAATTAGCATCCTAAATACACTCTGCCAAGAGCGGTGAACTATTTCAAAGCCTGTGACAGTCACTACTGCCTTTGCACAGTCAACTGGTTCACATCTCCAGACGTTGTATTAGAGATTCCTTGGCCGGGTCTCATTGTCAAGCCTGAACACTCTCCCTGAACTTGCACGTGCCAAAAGCAGACACAGAAAGCAAGTCCCAGAAGGCTGCTGCCTGACTTTAGCAGGACTTTTTAAGCCGCAAGAAAGCCTCAAGTGAGCTCTGATCCAAGGAAAAGTTTGGATATGCTTTCAGCTTTGGCAAACTGTCCTACAATGAGATTGATGGCTGTACAAAATAAGGCAGTAGAAACTATCGCTATTCTAGGTCCTAGAAACAGAAAAATAACAAGATGCTAATAATAGATAGTGACAACCGTGCTGCTTTTACTTGTGGATCTCAACAGCACATGATAGTTTTCCATATCCGTGTGGCTCTCGTATCACAACACTAACTAGGGAGAAAGCTAGATGCCCGAGAAACGTTTGAAGAACATTCTCTCCAAAGTTGACATGGCAAGGAGATAATTTGCAAATTCTGAATACTTGAAGATCCGTGGAACGATTCCAGGAGCTAATTATGTTTCAGAGGCCTACCTGCAAATGGCAACAAAAGTATTTTCTTTTAATTAGTTGACTAAGTGAATTACATTTTAAATTAATGATCTTCTCTATATTGCTGTTCGTGTCTCTTGGAATTCCAAGGGAGAAAAATCCCTGCCTATAACATCTCCCTCTCATCAGCTAATCTCAGACAAGGCAGAGTATTACTGGTGATGTGATTGGAAGAATCTGCCTCTTAATTGGCAACCAGTTTTCCCCCAGGCTGGTTAACAACATTTGCATTACAGCAGAGTCATTTTTTATTTGCAAATTGAACATGGAAATCCAAGTTTCAGCAGGTGTCAAGTGTTGCTTTTCCCTTCTCAGAATCTCTGGCACACTCAGAAAAACAAAACTTCTGTAGGTAGCAGGTGTTGTCATGGCAATCCAGTTTGTTTAGTTTTAAATTTTTAAGTATAAGTGTACTGTTGCATGCCTTATTTAAGATAAATACAGGATGACTCACATCTAGAACCCATAGCAGAAAACAACTATTTCAACTGATTGCTTCTACTGCAAAAAAATGAAAATAAAGGGTGCTACTTAAAGCCATAAACAATACAACATAAAAATACTTGAGGGATTGTCTGTTACCCTTTGCTGTAATAGAGACTA